TCGTAACCTATTTCTGTATGGATGTCTTCCTTTCCTATATTTCTGATTGAAACATTGAAGAAAGCAATGTTAATTCACAACAACTGAGCGTTATTAGCTGTTTTTTTTAATGTTCAAATATGCATATAACTATTTTTACACTGAATATATGCAGTAAACCAGGTATGTGATTAATATAACAGAATATGGATTCACTAATGCTATAAATGTCATATTTCTCATCCCACAAACCATAATTAGAAGGAGTCAAGCAACAGGGTGGTATCTCCAATGCACATTTGTTATCCCTTCCGAGAAATATATTTTCCAGATTTTCCTCCTACTTTCCCAGTTTACATTTTTGCTGAATATTTATGTTAATCTTTTTCTTCTTCTTCTGACTCAGTGTTCTTCATTGTGAACTATTCTTATAAATAGTTTTATAAGTTATAATACTTCTGACCGAACCTGGGTTTTCAGTAATTTTAAAGATGTACTAGCAACCCGTGTCCCATTGGATCATAGTTTGAGATATATTTCCTTAAACAGAAAAAACAGAATGACCAAGGGCAAGCAAAAAAGTAGTGGAAGCAACAGCATTAAGTTTACTTGTGGAAATCCGGTAGGGGGCATCAGAAATCTCCCTTCTCTTTCCCTTCCGGCTGCTGCTGAGTGGAGAATGGGGGATTGCGAGACTGGCTGAGAAATTGTCACAGAACATTTCAAAATAAAGATCATGTAAACCACAAGAGCAGCCCAGCGGTGCAACAGCAGCTGATAGCACTGAAGCAGCTACAGGTTTCCCAAATTTCATTCTGTCAGGAGTCATGTCCCGGATTTTAGATACATTGTGTAAGGAAGCCCATTTGAGACACTTTGGTTCAAAAAATATTGCCCTGTGCTGCACCATTACACCCAGTTAAGGAACCTGACAAGAATTTTAGTCCAGTAGTATATAGATTAAGGATTATCACTTTGTTACAATATCTGCCATCTTTATAATGGTAGTGTCAGCTTTGGAAGCCATATTAGAACCAGCAGCTTCCACACTGCCACATTCCTGAGCCTAGGAAATTGGGAGGGGGGATTTCATAGGGGGTATGTAGTTAGACATAATAGCATTCTTTTTTTCAGTCAAGGTCATGTCATCCTGCACCTGGTTGAGGAACGATTAGAGGAGTGTCTCTTGTTGAGAAAGATGGTAATTGGGCAATATGATGGACTGATGGGTACAGGGGATGGGTCTTTGAATTTTAGTTACGGAGGGAAAGCCCAGAACTCTCAGATTTAGGTTTTCCCAGATGTGCCAGTATGAGTTCTAATAAAATGGGACATTGAGAAAATGCCTGTCTCGGAGTTTTGGTGTTGGAGTTTGTTTTTCTGGAACACTGACAGGTAGACAAGGTAGTTCCTTCCACAAAGGAAAGGAGTATATCAATGAGGTACTTGTCAAAACTTCTGAATTTCAATATATCTACAGAGAATCATTTTGATGCAGAAATATGTTCACTTCCCATCTGAAAAAGTAATTACTTCAAATCAAACTTGACTTGTAGTGATTTCATAAATATGCCCTTAACAATGTTCTTGGCAGTAATATAGAAATGGTTTGCTATTACCTTCTGGGGTGGTGGCGTTTTTTTTTTAAACTCCATACTGTAGCTTGCAGCCCTAGTATTCTCTACCAACCAGCATCAAACCTGTTTAGCTTCTGGGCTTAGACAATCCTTATGTTATCAAGAAGTATCCTTTCTTCCTTTTCCACATCCCCATTTTCCTTTTCCTCATCTTGGATAATTTGGGAAACAGAAATGTAGCAAGTACGTGTAGTCCTTGTTTAGTGGCTGCCTTGTTTACCCACCATTTGCAGTTGCAAAGATGATGGAAAAAATAACTTTAAAACCAATCCTTACATTTACAACCTCTGCAAGTCTGTAAAGGGAAAGGAAGCTGAAGTAAGATTATAAGCAATCATGGTTTCACTAAGCAACTGCTTTGCTTAATGACTGAGTTGCCAGTCCTAATTGTGGACACGAAATGAGGACCTCTAAATAGAATAATGAAAGACCAAGTGAATAGTGCCATTAGTATTGACCTAAAAAAAAGGAATCTCTGTGTCCTGATCAGCAAATGTTGTGATGATATATTGGATGGAAGACATTGCAAGATATGGAAAGGGCATTTGATTTGAATCAGTTTGAATCAGAACAATGCTGATCCAAATTCTCTGTCACATGATGTCTTCAGTCAAAAAGGAGAAATGCTTCTAGTAGCATAACTAGAATGGTTTTTCAGCATTAAGTTAGCAGAAAGAAACTCCTGTGCCATATCCTAAAGCACACCTCCAGGTCTTGCCCCAAATCTTCCAGGTTGGACAGGGTGATCAGTGGTGTCCAACTTTAGAGTAGAGTAGAGTAGAGTAGAGTAGAGTAGAGTAGAGTCTACTATGGAATGGAATGGAATGGAATGGAATGGAATGGAATGGAATGGAATAGAATAGAATAGAATAGAATAGAATAGAATAGAATAGAATAGAATAGAATAGAATAGAATAGAATAGAATTCTTTATTGACCAAGTTGATTGGACACACAAGGAATCTATCTTCGGTGCACAAGCTCTCAGTGTACGTACCGTAAAAGCTATAAGTGATAAATTATTATCATAGTCTTCATAAAAATACATTCATCACAATTCATAAGAAACAACACTTAATGACAGTCATTGGATACTAAATAAGCAATCAACTTAAGTCATACTAGGAAACTAAATAAAACAATATAAATCATAAAGATACAAACAACTAAGTTATAGTCATAAGTAGAAAAGGAGATAAGTAACAGGAAAGATGAGAAGAATAATCATAATACAGCTTTACTAAACAGTGTTGTGGAATTAACTGTTTAGTAGAGTGATGGCATGGAGGGAAAACTGTCCTTATGAATAGATAAGATAGAAAGATAGATGGATGGATGGATAGATAGATAGATAGATAGATAGATAGAGATAGATTCCTTTCTATTTTAACTATGTGCATTAAGAAGTAAACTACTGCATATATAATACCCATGCCACTGTTTTTAGGATGGAAAAGTTCAGAGATTTGGTACTATATTATACAGATCAAACTTGCAGCTTCCTTGGCTGTCATTCCCTGTCAAATACTATATCTTGTCTTGTATTTGTCCCCTTCATTGCACTCATTCTCTTTCAACAACCTGCTGCAGTTTTGTCAGCAAGCCCATAAACACTGGTTTTGTCCCACAGGTCATTCACCTTTAATATGATCAACAGTTAAGGCACAGAAAGTATCTACTTTTCTACTTCACATCTTGTTGTTCCACTAACACACAAACAAATACTGTTTATCCCAGATAAAGGATCTTACAACAGATGCACTCAAACTGCAGGTATGGCAAGCGGGGCAGAAATGGGTACATCAGCCACCCTGCCCTAACATTAGTATAATAATGAAACAAACTTCCAGCATTTGGGGATGGCTTTGCCATCAATACAACAATAGAAGTGGGCTAATCAACCCCTGTATTTACTTTCAAAATCATTTGGTCTTTTGCTACAATACTTTTGGAGCCAAGATTTAATGTTCTTATTTGCAGTGGCATTTAGTTGATGATATGTCTTAGCTGAGAATAAGCACAGTGGGCCTTATGGATAAAAATGCTATATATCAGATGGCATCAGCAATTGCAGGACTTCACTCTGGTCTTCTATTTGCCCCCAAGTCCAGCTCTAATTTCCTCCTTGCCATGGGGAGGTAGGCATTATGTGATAAATACGACAGATTGGCAATTTTTATTCTACAATGAGCCCACTCTCTCCACACTCCTAGAGAGCTGTGCAAAGGGCCCCTTCTTCCCCACAACCTAACAAAGGCCACCCTCACCACCAATCCTTATCACAAATAAACATTTTTATGGAGAGGACCACTTTTCTGCCTCATTACGCAGGGCCTGTTGCTGAGGGATTGTCATCGAAGCACCGTCCATAACATGCCTCGGACTCTTATGCCTCGGTAGGCAGTAAAACTAACCAGTCCAAACATAATTGCAAGAGTTATTTCGGTACGTCTCTGGGTTTTCCCATATGCTCCTATTTCCTGCACCATTGACTTTAATGGACAACAATAACAGAGGGAAAAATACAGAGATAGGATGGAGGGAGAAGAAAACTAAAGGGGGCCCAGTGAGCATTCTGCATCCCACCAGGGCCCTTCAAGTCTCTTTTAAAAGGCTCCAACATCACACACATACATTCACAAACACACATACACAAACTCCTTTCTATCACCCACACATTTTCTTGCCATGCATTCAGTTAGCCACGGTAAAACGCATCCTTTCGCATTCCTCATGTTTCTTTGCACCAAACGCTCCTCCTCGCCTGGAAGTTTTCTACAATTTCCCCAACTGCTGACAAAGTCGTTTTAAAAAGAAAGAAAGAAAAAGAGGTGGAAAGGCAACAGGTGCCTCTCGGAAATGAGCTTCACCGGCCACTTCTGCACACCGTGCAGCTGTCAGACCCATTTTGAGGAGCGGAAGAAAAGCAAGTCCTAAACTGCAACCCACTCAGCGCCCCTCCACCCCCACCCCCTCCCACACACACGTACACCTCGGTTAAACCACTTTCTTTCCCGTGACGCTTTACCAGTATGGGGTGGGCTTGCCAACACGCATACGTGATTGTGACTGCGTTTCCCACAGGCAGCTTTGGTCTCTAGCCGCTGCATTCGCGCAACAGGCTTGTTTAGTGCTCGGTTGGCAAGGCTGAGTGTACAGTGTGAATCCAGGCCGTTTCAAGGAGCCGTGGGAAAAGTATTCGGCAAATGCAGAAAACGGGGTAATTTAGTAACCAGGTTAAGCACCTGGCGCCAACACAGCCTAAACCTGAACCGTCCCTTTAAACCTGACCCAGCTCAGCCGACGCCCCCCACCGTCTGCCCCGCGAGCCTCCCTCTCTCTCTCTCTCTCTCTCTCTCTTTTTTTAAGCGGGAAACCCACTCACATGGGGTAGTAAGCGTAAGGTGCCAGGCAGTTCTCCTCACACGCTTCGGAATCCATCAGCAAATAGTCCTGGCTGTCGTTCCTGGGGGTTCCGCCGACCGGCGAGCCGTTCCCCCGCGGCGCGTAGAGCTGGTTGTGACTCATAGCGCTTCCTCTGGGGAGAAGTGGTGGGGTCCCGAAAACAAAAAAAGGCCCCTCTTCTTCAGGAGGCTCCCGGCCCCCAAAAGGGGCACTCTCGGGGAACCCCCCCCTCCCTCTCTCCTGCAAAAACGCACAACACACACAGGCGCGCGCGCGCGCCGCCTGAGGGGGGGGAGATACACGTGCGCGCGCGCGCCTGGCCGGCGTTGTTTAAAAGCAAAATTATTAGTAATGTTTGTTTTTTTAAGAAAAAAAATGGCAGAAGCGCTCGCTTTCTGTTCCCCCCCGGCTACCTGTGGCGCAGCGTCCCCATTTTAAAAGAGGGCTGGAGAAGGTCGTTTCTGCGTGGCGGAGGTGGGGCAGACCAAAGGGCGAGCCCCCAGCGCACCTCGCGGATCTCTCCCTCGCCGGGGTCGCTTCCAGCCCCCACCACAGCCCCTCAGTCCAAGCAGGCGGCTTTGTCCGCCGCTCCGAGCCTCCGGATAGCCACCGAAGGAAAGAGAGGAGGGGTGGGGGGTGAAAAAAAATAAAAAGGACGGAGTTACTATGTCAACCAGCCCTATTCCGCCGCCCCCCCCTCTCTGAAAGCCACCCGTGCCCGGAGTGGCTCAACCAGCTTTTGCAAAGCCGCAACGGAAGAAAAAAAGGGAAAGGAAAGGAAAGGCGGGGAAGAGGGGCTTTAAAAAGTTTACGCGACCGCCGCCGGCCAGAAGCAACGCGTGGGCGCGGAGGGCCACAGATCCAATGGCAAAACGCCGGAAAAAACCAGCCTCAGCATAATAACCGCCGGCCCTTCCCACGTTTTTCATCTGTCCCTTCGCATCATCTTGGGCGATCACGTGAATGAAGGGATTCCGAAGTCTTCCTACTACCGCTTGTTTGACGAAGATCCTCAATAGGTATAACTTCGTCGGCGGAGTCCCGTGCTGCTTTTTGGCTCGGTTTTTCATTGAATGGAAGCTCTTGCCATCACCAGCCTCGTAAAGTCAGCGCAGTTTGGCGCTGCCACGGTCTTAAGCTTTGCATAAGGAAGGCTGGAGAAATCACCTTGTCTGCCTCTCTCCGTTCGTTTGCTCTGGCGGCATGTTCTCTCAGGGCTGGGTACCTAGTTATGCAATCAATACATCTGGTACATCTGCTTCGTTGGCATTCAACAGTTAAGGAGATCTTAATGTTGCCTGGCTGAAAAAAGAAAAGGGACAATCGGGGATGCAACAGGGATTGGTTACTGTGAACAGAATGGACAGCTTCGATAATGAAAATTTATTACCATCTCCTGAAAATGGATAAATTAGAAATGGTACTTGACAGAGGTGGTATTCAGCAGGTTCTGGAGAACCGGTAGTGGAAATTTTGAGTAGTTCAGAGAACCAGCAGCAAATACCACCTCTGACTGGAGATTTTACAGTATCCTTCCCCTGCCACACCCACCGAGCCACACCCACAGAACCAGCAGTAAAAAATTTTTGAATCCCACCACTGGTATTTGACTGGATACAACACTCTTTAGAATTGGATTGTTTGTGTTCTGCAATTAGCATCTGGTGATTGTCTATTCTGGCAATTCTTCTCGTCCACGGATATTCTTTTACTTGCAAACATACTTGGTTCCATGGTTATTTTTAAAGGCTTGCAACAGCTTTTCTGGAAAGTTTGTAGACGGTCAGGACATCCTAAATGTGCATATGATGGAAGAAAAATATTATTGTAAGAGACCAGCTGTCAACTATTTCACTCGATGCTGTTAGATGAGGCTAGAAAAATAATGATTTCTGCTTCTTTTTCAGTACAGCTCTCGGTTAAAGGTTTCTGCAATTCACACCAAAAAAATTTAAAATGACTCCATCTCAGATCTGTTCCAAATCAATGATTTTTAGAAAGATTTTCACACATTCCTTATTCTCATATTCCATTATTTTGTTAGATCTTTTCTTAAAATGTTAAATGGATTTTCTATACTTTTGACTGGGGTATTATAATAAAGATTTAGAACTTCTATACTGGTATAAAATGTAGTTACATTTCAAGGCACTGTATGCTGTGATATTGATGCAAGAAAAAGAAATGATTTAAATTTTCAAATAAAATATTCTGTTATTTTTACCTTGAATTATTGTGACTGATTGTATTTGCAGAATTAATAGAAGCCCTAGGTGCTGTAATGTATAGATAGTCCTCTACTTACAAAGTTTGTTTAGTGACTAAAGTTGCAATAACACTGAAAAAAGTGACTGATGACCATTTTTCACACTTATAACCATTGTAGCATCCCCATGATCATGTGATCAAAATTCAGGTGCTTGGCAGCTGACTCATATTAATGATGGTTGTGTCAGGATTCCGGCAGTTACCCCCATTTAAATCATGAGTCTTGAGCCAAACTTCCAAAATTTCAAAAGGATTTATTGGGCGTTATCATGTCTGGCACTGTCTGAGTGTAGCTGACTCTGAGACACATAATTCATTGTCACCCTTGACCCTGATTTCCCCCCACCCCCTGGGTATATCGTAATTCATATTCTCCAATGGGACACATTCATAGCCAAGAGTCATCAATCATGCTCTCCAGTTAGAATTTTGTGTGGCAGAAACTTCAGTCACCTAGTTACTATCTTTGAAAACATTTATGGAATGCAGTTTTGCTGCACTGCTCCCCCCTCCCTTTCTGTTGGCGACTCTAAAAAGACCATAGAAATATTTTATGAGTTGACAGGTTGCAGTCTCCCAGAACATGTGATCATCTTTTGTGACCTTCTGCCAAGCAAAGTCGATGAGGAAGCCAGGTTCACTTAACAACCATATTGCAGACTTGACAGCTGCAGTGATTCACTTAAAAACTGTAGCAAGAAAGGTTGTAAAAACTCACTTAACAAATGTCCCACTTGGCAACAAAAAGGTTGGGCTCAATTGTGGTCATAAGTCAATGACTATCTGTATTGTGTATTTGTGTGAAGTTGCTTTTTAATTTCCCCACAGTTCAGAATAAAGTTGTAAATGTCTCCCTAGTTATTGTACATCCTGCTAGAGTCTGTATCTTGAGTTTATTCTCCAAAGTATTAGAAAGTCCCCCAAGTTTGATGAGCTCTCCTTCTATCTTCTCATCCAGATCATTTATGAAGCTATTGAAGAGCTCTGGCCCGAAACAAAACCTTGAGGGACCTCAGTGCATGCTTTTCTCCATGAAAATGTAGTTCCATTGCCACAGCTGACTTCTATTATCTCCTTATTTGCCAACAGGGCAAAACTGAGTTGGGTGTTCTCTAAGGCAGACTTCTCAAACTTTCTACACCTCTTCACTTGAAACATTGTGAGACCAATTGTTCAGAAAATGATAGCCATGCAATTGGAAGAATGATTATCACAATTACAAGAAAAATGACAAGATAATAACCAGACTTGTAGAGTTAGGATAAACCATCTAGGCCAGGGGTCTCCAACCTTGACAACTTTAAGACTTGTGGACTTCAACTCCCAGAGTTCCTCAAGCCTTTGCTGGCTGAGGAACTCTGTGATTTGAAGTCCACAAGTCTTAAAGTTGCCAAGGTTGGAGACCCCTGATCTAAGCCACCAAGTTCAATGCAAGAATCCAAGTTATAGCATCCCAGACAGAGGATTTTCTAACCTCCTTTTCACCATATCCAATTATTTTCTTTCAAGTCCAATTATTTTTTTTCAGTATTGGGTTCACTCTGCTATTATTGTTAGAATGTTCTCCTAATGTTTAATTAGAATCTGCCTTGCTGTAGCCGTTATTTCACATCCAGCCCTCTGGAATGATGGTTAGGGGGCCTTGACCTTCGGTGTGTCATCTTTTTTGATATTGGAAAAAGCTATCATAATACTGCTCAGACTCCTCAAGACTACCTATTTGGTTTTTTCTGTCTCCATTTATAGGACTTGATTTTTTTTTCTTCCCAGGTCACACTTTGCTAAACCTATTCTAATTTCTTGGGATTCTTCTTAAATTGTAGTGCTCAGAACTATACTATATGGATGCAGAGATGAATATTGGAACAATGAAAGAAGATTAACAAAATAAAAATAAATACAGAGATATGGAAATATGCAGTGGTGGGGTTCAACAAATTTCACTACTGGTTCTGTGGGCGTGGCTTGGTGGGCGTGGCAGGGGAAGGATACTGCAAAATCTCCATTCCCTCCCCACCCCATTAACCTGCTTTCCAGCTCCATTCTCCTGTGCAGAGCAACAAAAGAAGACCCAGCTGATCATCTGGGACTCAGGAGACAGAGAATAGATGGAGGTGGGGCCAGTCAGAGGTGGTATTTGCCAGTTCTCTGAACTACTCAAAATTTCTGCTACCAGTTCTCCAGAACCGGTCAGAACCTGCTGAATACCACCTCTGGAAATATGTAATAATAAACAATGCAATAAATATTATTATTGGATTGTAGGCGAATATAGTATGAAATGCACAAAATGAGAATTTTAATAGCGTATTATGGTAGAAATAAGTAATAGTTATAATCGTAATGCATAACACTATGTAGTCAAAAGACAAAATACTGTATGATAGTTTTAACTGGGATGTATAGCATGATTTTTTAAAGGGATTTGATATAACCAGTACACAATGTTGTTGTATAATTGGAACTGTTATGTATATTAAGGAAAAACGTATAATAAAAATATTTCTTAAAAAAAAGAACTATACTATGGATACAACCTAAAATTGCATATGCCTTTCTTGTTGCAACATCACCCTTCTAACACATACTCAGTTTGCAGTCAACTACCAATCCATTATTGTAATGACCAATATTCATTATATGTATCCATTATTACTATGTTTTGTCAATATCAAACTTTTATTCTCTTTCTTATCTCTTCAATTAATTGTCTCATTTTCATTTTTTCTCTCTCTCCTTGTACAATTGGAAAAAAGTTGTGGAGAGCAAGGAGGTTTTGATACCCAGGTAGGACTATTTTGAGATCCAGTACTTGGATCCTGACCAAGATTTGAGCCATTGGCAAAGAGTTAGTTCCAGGTTTGAGCCATTGGCAAAGAGCTAGTTCCAGGTTCAATTTCTTTGTATTCAAATGTTGCTGTTCATAAGGCAGCAAAAATAATTGGCATAATATG